GTCGTTGTCAGTCCCAGATCAGCCGGACTGAGACCTACTCCACATATTCAGAAACCTCAGCAGATTTGGGTGTGGTCTGACGTGCTCTTATTCATTCCTTCCTTAATCCACACTAGAGTGACTCAAGAGCATCAAGTAGCTGTCCCAGGGTCCATAGGCAAGACCCTGAGAGACATAAAGGCTGATGCCAGTGGGTAGCGGTGGCCTCAGTATCTTGGCTGCAGCCCTCTGGTGGCCAGTGGCACAGTGTGCATTCACCAGCAGATGTGCATGCAGGTTCTGTGCTCTGGGAGCTGGCTCCAAACAAAGCTAGTGCCAGATCCTGGGTCTGCTGGCAGTCCTCTAGGCCAGCGTAAAAAATAAGCTCTCCTCCCCTATTCTCCAAGGCCTCCAGGAGGTCAAAGTCAAAATGACCAAAGAGAAAGAAATGGAAGCTAAAGCTCTTTTCATCCACCTACCACCACCTGATCAGGCTTAAGCATCCACCCTCTTTCAGACAAGCCCCGTGCTGCAGCTGCCCCCGGAACTAGGCACCTCTGATCACCATGCCTTCTGTTCTCAGAGGCCGTGGTGGCGAGATTCTCATATGTTTACATGGGTTCCCTCTGTTGCCCAGATTTTACGGGGAGTCTAGCAACTAAAGTGAACAGATAGGGAATGCTTTTTGGCCTAGTTAGTCCAGGCTTCCTCATCCAGACTAATAGTGGGGTCTTAGGTAAATCACTACTCTGTCCACTGTGATAGACTGTGCCTCAGGATGTGATCTCTCAGCAGCCTCTGGTCCTTTCTTTCCAGCTTCGGAGAAGCCATCAGCAGCCACCCCAGGTAGTCTCATTATACACCCTGATCATGGCCTTTCGTGGGTCAGGCAGGCCATACATAGGGCCCAGCATAACTGGGAGGCCCAGGCAGATCCCAGTGAAGGGTTTTAGGGCGAGGTAGGCACGGGGTGTCCCACAAACACGAGACTTCAGCCTGTCATCCCTGCTGAGTCCCGGCCTACAGCACAACATCAGGCACGGATACGACCACTGGTAATACTCCTGAGGGACCTTTGTGTGTTTTCTTGCACAAGCAAGGAAGTCCCTGTGTGTGTCCCCCAGAATCCTTCAGTTTGGTTTTAAAGGTACGCTGCCAAAGATTTCAAAACTTCGTTTTCTAATCTGAAAGTAACACTCTTGTCTTTTCTCTTTTTTGAAGATAAAAACATTCCCGGCTGATACAGTGACTCCATTTCCTGATCCTTTCATTACAGGGCCCCAGTTTACTGTAAGTAGATCCAGAAAACCAATCTGTGTTTTAAGGCATTGTTCCCACGTGGTTGCTTTCCTGTGGAATGCCAGGCAGCTGCTGACAGCTTCCTTTGATCACTTTGAACTCTGTGAGGTTGGGAAGGAGCTGGGGTTTGGGGCTCTCCATCTTCTAGTTATTTTATTGAGGTGGACTTCACAAGCACAAAATTAACCATTTTAAAGTGGCAATTCAGTGACGGGTAGTACTTTTAGAGTCATGTAACTATTACCTCTATCTAGTTCCAAAACATTTTTATCATCCCCAAAGGAAACCTCATACCCATTGAGCAGTCGCTCCACACTTCTCCCCTCCCTCTGGCCCCTGGCAACCACCAACCTGCATTCTGTCCTACAGATTTACCTAGTTTGGATATTTCACATAAAGGGAATAATATAATATGTGACCTTTTGTGCCTGGCTTCTTTCACTTAGTATAATGTGTTTGAGGCTCATGCACGTCGTAGCATCTATCAGTACTTTATTTCTTTTTATGGAGGAATAATCCATCATATGTATGCACTGCAATTTGTCGATCCATTCATTCGTTGATGGATATTTGGGTTGTTTCCACCTTTTGGCTATTGTGAGTAGCGCTGCTATGAACATGCGCATACACATATTGGTTTGAGTCCTGTTTTTGATTCTTTTGGGTTGGATCTGAATCTTGATCATGGTATGATCTTAGATAAATCACTTTACATTCTGAGCACCAATTTCTTCTTACTTAAAGTCAACACAGTAATAAGAATATCGTTTTATCTGGCTGAGTGGTGGTGTAGGTAATAAAAGCAGGTAGTCATGACAACAAGCTTCATGTCATCACCTCTCTCTGTGTTGCTGGGTAGCTCATTTAAACTCCTTGCCTGCAAACGGTTGAAATGTTTTTAAACGTTTTAATGTTGTGGTTTCCTCATCTGCCGAATATGTGAGTTCGATAATTTTCAGGCTCAATTCTTTAAGTGAAAGCTTCTGCAGAAGCACACTATACAATGAGCGACTGTATGGAGTACAAGCAGGAAGTTCAGGGTCCCTCATCTTTGCCCTCACCCTCTCCTTCTCTCAGGGATCAGAGTTTGTAATTCCCAGAACCAAATGATTTCTAAGATTCTTTCCAAAGGGTTTCTAGCCAATCTGGAGGATCTGTTGGGTGGCTGTGTGTGGTCTAAGGGTAGCTCAAAGTGCAGTCTTGTGAGCTGGATGATGGTCACTACCTGAGGTGGCCACAGCCACGTGGAGAGAGAGGGCATAAGCAGTGGCTGATTCAGGTTTCAGAAGACAAACAGACAGGAAGGTGTTCAGCAGTCCGGGCAGAGGCAAAAACAGCCTCCTAGAACATTCTTTTCTAGGGTCATAAGCTGCTCCCAGCACCTGCCTTTTAAGAACCAAAGGGCAGAGACATAGAGACTGGGCCAGGCAGTTCAATGCTCCTGCCCCGATGTTCATCCCACCCCTGCCATTTTGCTGCACACAGCTCCCCAGCTGGAAGCTCTCACTTCCCTTAGCTGGGCACTCTGGCCTCCTGGCCAGCCTTGGCAGTGCCATAAGACACCCAGGGAAGCCCTTCCTGAAAAGCTGGGGGCCAAGATGGAGTGGGAAGCCAGTGTCAGAAACCACGCTGGGACATTGAAGAGTTGAGCAAGAATGACTTGCTAGAGGCAGCTGGAGCAAGCAGAGGGGACAGCATGAACCAGAGTCCTGGGGCAGGAATGATCATCCCCCATTCAAGTGACTGAAATGAAAGCCAGTGGGACTAGAATTCAGAGACCAAGAAGGTGGAGAAGGAGAAGAGGAAAGGACAAACGCTGAAGGGGCAAAACCATCCTTGGCCTTGTAGACCACAGTAGAGATTCTGATGTTTGTTCTAAGAACAAGAAGCTTTTGAAGGACTTTAAGCAGGGCAGTGACAGGGCAGGTACATTTGAAAATGTTCCCTGTGATAGCATTGGAAGAACAGTTGGGTCCAGACAGAGTAGAGTCCGGCCTGTAGTTTAGAAATTTAGGATAGTTGTTCAAAGGTAAGAGGGCAGAGAGCTTGACCCAGAGCAGTTTTGATGGTGGAGATGGAGAGAGGTACACAGGTGGCGAGATATTTAGGAGGTCGGAGAGGAACTGGATTGGATAAGGGAGCGAGAAGGTCAGAGATGACTCCCAGATTTCTGACTTGCGGAACATGGATGGACAGTGGGTTCATTCACTGAGATAAGGATATCTGACAGAAGACTAGATTGGGAGGAATAATGAGATTGCCTCTGGCCACGATGTGTTAGAAATGCCTTGGAAACATCCAGGCGTAAGCAGTGAATGGGCAGTTGGATATCCAAGTCTGTAACTCAAAAGAGAGACTAGACTGGACAATATAGAGAGTTACTGAATTGCATGGGCTTCAGTCTCCTAATTTTCTCACCCCTTTGTGTCATTTTCTCTTCGACTCTCCATTAAGGTTAAGGTATTTGACCTTGCTGCAGGTTTGGCCTCTCCTATCCTGAACACAGTTATTGGGGAGTTCAGCAGCACCAGGGAACTCTGCACAAAGTTGGTCTGGTAGTTGATTCAGCATTGACCTTGAGCCTGGCTTCAACAGCTGGGCTTCTTGCTTGATCCTTAAACCAGTTTCTACCTTGTATTCAGGACTGTTAACTGGGTTTCTGCTTTATACTCAGCCTTGGTCTGTCTCGGATAAGGGCCCCTGGCTGCCTCTGGTCAAATTAGTGTTCCGTGTTCTCCTTCCTAACCTGTTATCTCCTTCTGTCGCCTTCTGTCCCTGTTATCTGCTTTGTTCCAGCAAAAGAGCATTCATTCATTCATTCATTCATTCATTCCTTATCTCAAAAAATATTAAAAAGATGAATACTCTGGGTTAGATTTAATAATATGGGTAATTTAACTGTTCCCCCAACATCATTCTTAAGTGACGCTAGCTTTTTTCCTCTTTGACCTAGAGTGCATGGCATTGAAGAATACAATGAGCTAATATAGTCAGGTGCCACCGCCTTGATTCATGCTCAAGCCATGGCACTTTTACCCACTCTTGTCTCCATGCCATAGTTTCCTCTTTTTCCAGAGAGTATAAAAAGTGACATCAAAAGCCCAACCTTCCCCCACTTCACTGAAGCAACAAAATAACTTCTATCCCTAGCTCCTGTATCAGGAAGGATGGGCTAAGTCATGCTTTAAAATGACAAATCAAATTTCCTACTCTGCTGCATGTCTGTCATGGGTAGGCTGAAGGCTCTGTTCTTTGTTGTCCTCTTTCTGGGACCCAGGCTAATGGAGCAGCTGCCATCTGGAACATTGCTAGTCACAGTGGCAGAAGCGGGGTGGAAAGGAGGTAATAAATCACATACTGGCTCTTAAATCTTTCAAAGGAAATGAAACATGACACCTGAACCCACATTTCCTTGGGCAAAGCAAGGCACATGGCCATGCAGAACTTCAAAGAGGGTGAGGAAGTGCAGTCCTACCAGGTGGCTTGAGAGTAATGAGCCAGGATGATCTACTGAACCACACAGATTACTACTACAGCCCAACATCTGTGCGAGCTCTTTGTGGCAAACACCACAGGCTGGCAAATATATGATACTCCTGTTCTTATGGTCAGTTCTTTGGCATTGCTCCATTCTAAGCCAGGTCAGATCTCCCTCTGGAGGTAGCTGTAAAACACACAGGGGCTTGCTTGTATTTTTCAGCAGTAGCCTTTCAGGACCCCTCAAAGATAAGCCTCTCTCTCATTATTCAAGCCAGATGTACCCTTTCAGTACTGTAACTGTATTTGGTATTTTCAGTGGTTTTGCATGTTTCCTTGGAAGGGACAACTTATCTTTTATCTAATCACTATGAATATAGTGCTCATCTGATGATCAAAGCCTTTTCTTTAGAAAGCCGTGGGATAAATTTCTCTGAGCTTAGGGCCAGGAACTAACATGAAAAATCAAGGCATAAAATATAGAGCTGGTATTATCAAAAGGATATAAAACAAACAAAAAACAGGCATAGAGAAAATACTATGAAGAAATATATTGACAACAATAAGGGAGTATAGAATGTCTTCGTTTATTTACTTACATATATTTCCTACATTTTCTATATAAAAGTAATAAGCAAATCATACTTTTTAATGAAAACAACAATCAGATATCCTCCCCAGTTGAGGCGGTGTACTCTAGACCAGAAGTTCTCAAACTTTATCTTGTATTAGAATCATCAAGAACTCTTATAAAAACACGTTTTGCCATACTTCAACCCCAGACTTTCTGGTTCTAAGGTCTTTGGTGAGGCTTGAGAATTTGCATTTTTACCAAGTTTCAATATAATACTAATGCCACTAGTCTGGGGACCATACTTTGGGAACCATTATGATAGTGGTGAAAAACACCAATTATGGAGTCAGCTAATCCTGATTCTAAATACTATTTAACACTCGCTTGAGAAGATATTTAGCGTCTCTGAGCCTCATTTTCCTTTTCCATTAAATCGGTTCTAAGCTGCACGTTTTTTTCACCTTTTAATAACTCTGAAGTCAGAAACTCATTACAATAGTGTTGGTGACAAAGTGTAAATGGCCACATTTTTCTTTCTCTATGGCACATGCAAAAATGGTGGCATCTTACCAATTGATGTGATGAAATATGGTCTCTCCCTTAAAGGATTGTCAAGAGGTAATATATGTAAAGTGCTTAGCATAGTTTCTGGCACAAAGTAAAATCATTTAATAAATGGCAATCGATTTTAGCTAAAATTTAAAAATAATAGGAATTGTCTAGTAAGGCTTAGGGAGCAGCTGACAGTGTGAAAATGGAATCCAAATTGAGATTGATTTCTTTTCTGTTTCCTCTCCAGGCAGACTTTAGAGACAGCAAATTACAGTGCGGTCCTGGCCAGCCTTCCCCACTGATTCCAGCAGCGTCCCCGAGGCCTTTGACAGAGACCATCTCCACAGTGCAGACCATCTACACCACCCGGAAGCCTGTTTCTCTGGCAGCCAGGTGAGTCAGGGAAACAAGGCACAGATTCAAGGTTCACTGTGTTTGTGATGCATATAACCATCTTATTCATTCTTTCATTCATTTATTCTGTATTTATGGGAATGTCTTCAAATGCTAGACAGTATTCTAGGTGCTAGGGGTATCCAATGAATAAAACAGATAAAAGTCCTACCTTTATGGAGTTTACAATCTAGTGTTGGGGGTGGAGAGATAGACATTAAATGAATGTGTGTGTGTGTGTGTATGTGTGTGTGTCAGAGAGAGAGAGAGACAGAGACAGAGAGACAGAGACAGAGACAGAGATAAAGAGAAAGAGAGAGTGCTGAGAGAGAGAGAGAGAGAGAGACAGAGACAGAGGCAAAGAGAAAGAGAGAGTGCACACGCAACAGACAGACAGATACACAGACAAACAGAAGTACCAGAGAGAAAAATAAAACCATGAAGGGCAATAGGGCTTGCTGGGATGGCCTCATTGAGGTGGCATTTAAGCAGAGACCTGCAAATAGTGAGGGAGTAAGCAGTAAGCTGTGGCTATTTGGGAGAAAAATATACTAGCCAGAGGGAACAACCAGTGCTAAAGTTTTTGAGGTAGACCATGCCTGGCAAGGTTAAGGGTAAATACGGGGGCTGGGATGGCCAGAGCAGAGTAAATGACAGAGGAGGTTGCCCATGAAGTTACAGGTTGGGGCCAGATTATATAGAGCCTTTTTGGCCATAGTGGAAACTTTGATTTTACCCTGAATGAAATTATTTTACAACTTGGTGTGCCTTTAAAGATGTGTACTTCCGATGGTGATGGTGTCGGTGGTAGTGGTGGTAGTGGTGGTGTGTGTGTGTGTGTGTCTAAACAGTAGAGCTAGATTCCATTACTAGTCAACTGAGCCTGAGGGCCAAGAAGTCAGAAGCAACCTCTAAAGCAATCAATTTTATTTCATTCAATTTTATTTATTCAACCATAGGAGGGAGCTGTGGGAGAAAGTAAAGGCAAACCCAATTTAAAGCATGATTTAAAGAAATCTAACCCCTGGGCATCTTCCCAATCATTCAAAAGAGGCTACTATGCACTAGCTCTTGTGCTGTGCTCTGGGGTTTCAGAGGAGAATGGCATAGGTACAGTTTGTCCCCCAAGGAGTGGGTGGGTGCTCTGAAGAACTCTCAGTCTGGTGGGGGAGGCAATGCTAGCAAATGTCAGGGGTCCCTAAGGAGCCCGAAAGAGAAAGTTAAAAAAATACGATCAAGAAAGGATCTGTGAGACGATACTTGTGATTTGTGTGGGTTTATCTCACTCTTTTGTCACTTATTCTTTTTCAGTGCAGAGACGCTCCGGCAAGAACTGGAGAGAGAGAAAATGATGAAAAGACTGTTGATGACCGAACTGTGAAATTCTTCCCTTGTTGCCTGGAGGATGGCATGGTGCCTTCTGTTGTTTTCGTTCTTCGGGCTTTGTGTGCTCATGAGCACAGCATACAAATGTGTGCCCTGTTCGCCCAGGTCTCCATGGTTAGTCAAAGCCAACTTCTGGCTTGACCTTTATTGGAAAAGTTGTTTTATGTCTCCTGAGTATTAGAGTTTTTCTACTACTCGATATAGTTGAGACAGGATTGAAAAGCTTTGGAGCAGAAAAATGGGGAAACGGGGATTCCTTTTCTGAAGTACCTGTGTGAATATATTAATAACCACAGGGGTTACTATGGCGCAGAATCCTTTGCTATCGATCTCAACCATGTGATTTTGTATGATCGAAACTTACACCAAGCTTTGACTGTTTGTTAGAGTCATTTTTAACAAGAGAATAATTCTTTATTGCTGTTTTTTCATTTACACTGGTAAATACACAGATCTTATAAAGTCTTTAACATTCATTTTTATTCAGACATTAGTAGATGAACTAAAAAGGAAGTTGCAATCACCAGGATTTAAGGTACTTCAGCTTAATAATCTAAAACATAATTTCACTTGTGAATGTGTTAGATAACGATATTATTTGGGATACATATAATTTATCGTTGAACCCAAAGTAGGATATTATAGCTTAAAGTGTCTAAAAACCCTTACAAGGTTAAATGAGCCAATATTAGGATTCATTTGGGTGTTCCATAAAGGAAAATTATTTCTAAAATTGATCAATTCATATCCTGTTGATAAAACCTTGACCAGAAGAAACTCTACTCTCTTTTTATATAGTTTCAAGAAATATGTTTTTAAATTTTTATTATACACTTGAACAAATTTGCAGGAATAAAAGAACCCCCTAACCACAAACTAGCCCTCTAAATTGTTCCCCAAGCTTTCTAAATGAACATGCACACATTTTAAATAGCAATGATCAGTGTGTACATACTCTTTGGTTGTATTTCTCCACCTAACACATATCTCCTCTTTTCAACACAGATCCTGCTTCACCAATTTAAATGTCTTTGTATCCATGTAACATGGTTAATCTTACTTCTCCCTATTATTAGATATTTGAGTTATATCCAGTTTTTCACTCTTATAAATAGTGCTGCTAAGAATGTCTTTGTAAAAAATTCTCCTTCCTTTGGATTCTTCCCTTGGGAATATCTCCAAAGAGGGATTACAAGGTCAAAGAGCATGAAGTATTTTATAGCTCTTGCTTTATATTGCCAGATTGCTTTCTAGAAAGATCATATCTCTGGGTTGGAAGGACCTTAAAGGTCATCTAGTTCAACCCCTCATCTCCTCTGAATGCTTGAATCTCCTCTACAATTAATGATGCCACCAGCAATGTGTAAGCATTTCTATTTACCAATAGCTCTGCCAGTATTGGGTTTTGCTATTTTTATTTATTTTTGCTAGTTTAATAGGTGTGCATAGTTGTTCTTGAAAGGCTGTTTTATTTCATTTATTGCTAGCAAGGCTGAGCACTTTTCCATCTCATGGTTTACTAGCTGTATTTCCTTGTGTGTAAAATGTCTATCCATTTCTTAAGACCACTTGTTAAGTGAAATTGATCTCATATATTTGTATCAGAAGTGTATTTTTATTTTGTATTGTATAGTTTGCTCTCCTGTCCCTATACTTAAAACTGAATGGTGCCAATAATTTGATACTAATGATTATTTAAAAAGAGTAATGCCTCATTTACTAGCATTGTTGTAAAATGAGGTATGTAAGCAAATATTCAGATAACAGAGGATTAACACTTGAAGTGCTGAATCTTTAAAATATTAATATTTTTTGAGGGAAATCTTTCTAAAACATATTACACACTTCCCTGCCTTAGTAGACAGAGTATACTGAAGAATATTTAAGCTTATCTTGATGAGTCATGGTCATCATTATAAACATCAGCTCCTTTTGTACCTTGGTGTGGTGCAGCGATGTCATCAAGAGCTATCAAAATGTGTGGGGCTTGGTTTTGCCTTTCACAGGCTATTGTGCTCTTCTCACAGATGGCTTTTCCTGCTCTCTGCTCTACCAGTGAAGCCATCTGGAGCAATTGTGGTATTTGGGACCTTTCACCCCCTCATACTACATGACCCCTGGCTGTACTTTTAAAACAGCTTTAGCTGCTCTTTATCTTGTGCACACGATGCAAAATGTATTTCTGTACAACATGAGGGAGATATCTGTGTCTGGGCTTGTCACCTCTTGCCAATCCAGCACACTCCTTCTCTCTTGACCTGCTTTCCAAGTCTTCTGCTCTTCTCCTCCTGCTCTGATGGAAGCCTCCAGGGCAAAATGGAAGGTTTCTTGCAGAAGCCAGGAACCCCAGTGTTACATTTGTGTGAGGTTTGGCTCTGCTTCTGAGGAGGGATGCATGGGCTTTTTCAGGAGGTTTTGAGCCTCCTGCTTCTTCCCCACATTCCCCTGGATTCACAGATGTTTCAGAAGGTCGATGTCACTGACGAAAGTCTGATCGCAAACTCGTTGGCTAATACTGTGTATGAAAACCCAATACCTTTGGCAGCTCAACTCAACCAGTAAAATCAAGAGGATTCCATTGTTTCAGCAGTTGTCCTGGTTATTCGCCTACTTAAATGCATGACTGGTGCTTGGCATTGTGATCTAAGGGATGATTGTATCGGTGGATTCATAAGGATGAAAGCGAATGGGGACAATCCACCTTTTTTACACATGAAAAACCAACACAACAGAACCATATGGTCACACAACATGTATCTTACATTCAGGAGGAAAAAAATTCGTTTGCTAATGTAATCATTCCAGAGCAAGGCATCCAAACTGTGGCCTCAGAGTCATGGTGGACATGGGGGGTTAATGCAATGGGTCTGGGAAGCCAGCAACCCACAGGGTATGTGGACTGTAGATTGCGTAGGAGATTCTTATGTTCGAAGGGTTTAAAAACTCGGCCCTAGAGAATTCAGAAGATCCTACCTGAATGCACCCAAATTTTATAATCCCCAAAGAGCACAGGAATATTCTGATATCTTTATCCTTTTTTCACCATCTCAAAGATCATAGCTTTTTAAAAATTGAAATTCACCATTCCTGTTTTAAAGTGTGCAATTCAGCGGTTTTTAGTATGTTCATGATGTTGCACCAACATCACCACTAATTCAAGAACATTTCCATCATTCCAGAAAGAAACTCCATATCTACAGTCACTACCAATTCTCCCTTTTTCCTATTCCCTAGCAACCACTAACTTACTTTCCGTTTCTGGATTTCTGTCTATGGATTTGCCTATTCTGGACATTTCATATAAATAGAATCATGTAATATGTAGTCCTTTGTGTCTGGCTTCTTTCACTTAACACCACGTTTTCAAGGTTCATCCGTGTTGTACCATGGGTCAGTACTTCATTCCTTTTTATGGCTGAATAATATACTACTGTATGGATATACCATATTTTGTTTATCCATTTATCAGTTGATAGATATTCAGATTGCTTCCCTTTTTTGGCTGTTATGAATAATATGAACATTCGTGTACAAGTTTTTGTGTGAACATATGTTTTCGATTCTCTTGGGTATATAACTGAAATTGGAATAGTTTGATCATATGGCAACTCTATGTTTAACTTTTTGAGAAACTACCAAGATCACAGCTTTGATATCCTAAGCAATTGAAAGTGAAAAAAAAAAATCACATATATTACTAGACAGTCGGAAGCATGGCCAAATCTATCATTGGTCAAATACTGAGAGGCAGCACTGATGTGGGGGAGTTTTTATAAGCAAAAATGTTGTTAGAGAAAAGGCTCTGATGAGAAAATAAAGGTGGTTTCTTTAAAACATGAAGTCGAACACAGGTTCATCTCTAAGTTTTTGTTTGACTAGCTGGCTCTTGTTCAGCCAGTGGTCTCAGAATGTTTAGGAGAAATTCTTCCCCAGAAAATGTGCACAAAAAAGGAAAACCATATATTTCTTGGCCGCTCATGGATTCACATTGCTGGGGAGCAGAGGGTCTCTGCAAACCTTGTGGTATAACTCAGAGGGGATATGTGCCAAGGGTGGGAACAGGTCTTTCTCCAGGGCTCAAATCTTATAAGAAAACACAAAATTAGAAAGTCTCAAAGCAATTTAAGTGGATGGGTGAACCTCATGAAAAAAGCAAGAAAAAAGCAGCCAAGCCGGCAGAGAAATAGACACCGGAGTCAGTGCTGAGGCCCTGGAGAGGCATGAAGACTTTGACCCGTGAAAGCTATGGGTATTCTCCGTAGGAAAATCCATATACTTCAATATTATTCTGGCACTTTCATAAGGTCCTCACACCACCCCTGAAGCCCATCTATGGCCCCCTTTGAGTCCATGGGCCCCAGGTCCTTCAACACGGCTAGATCATTGAAATCCACAGATTACCTGCAAACTTTATTTTAGCCTGTGGTTTTATTAGACCAATTTACCAGAAGAATGGCCTGGTTTTCATTTACCTTCTGTCTGGCACCATCACTGTTCATTGTAGTAATTGAAGTCAAGGAAATAAAAAAGTAACAGGTAACAACTTGGATTCCCAAACCAGAGAATCAACACTGAAATCAGAAATGTGGTGCTTTCCTTCATTTTGGTGGTGGTTGGGGGTGCGGAGGGAGGGTGGTGCTAAAAGTCAGTCCATTTAAAACTGTCCATACCTTCCTTGGTGAACAGGAGGAGAAGAAAAGAAAAGAATTTCAATGGTTAAGAAAGAGTGGTTTTTTCCAAAGGATTACTTGTTAACAGATTTTCAATACATTGGCTTTTTTGAGTTTGATAATTTTATACATTTCAAAGCCGTGTTTTGGAAAGAGACCTCTTTGTTTTGATTTTTAAAGTAGTTGTAGTTTATCTTACCTTTTTCAAGCAATAAGTGATTTATTGCAACAACCAGCATATTGGAGGACCTTGTGAAGCCTAAGATTTTCATGAATTACACCTGATTTACCTATCAGGCTAAACATGTTTAAACTCCAATTGGATTACCCACTGTCAGT